ATATTGATATCTTACGGTAAATTTCTCTAAAGCCATTTGACAGTACTCGAGCGTACGCAAGCTAACACGGACTTCCGTATTACAGTGGATCAGATACAAGATATATTTCAATAGAGGTTTACTATGGAAGCCGGCTGCGGCCATATTACCCCTGACTTCTCGCGGGCGAGAGACGAGAAAGCGAGGAAAGAGGCGAGAAAGCAAGGGTAAAAAAGGCGAGGAAAAAGGTGAGATTCACTCCACGGTGACATTTCGCTTTTTGTAGGTAAAATATTTTTTACTTTCTTTTTGTTTTTTGGATCTATTTTATAATACACTGTAATCTTCACTGGAGATTTTTGCTCCAATTTGTGACAAAAAGATATACCAAAATCTAGAAAAATGTGTCCCTGAATAATAATATATGAAAGTTTTAACTTAAAAAAAATTTTCAAAATCGAGTTAAAGTCCATTAAACAAAAATTTCTTCAAATAATTTATTTAACATTTAAGTGACATATAACAAACTACTTTAATTTTAACAAAAATGAGAAACGGAATCAGCAAATTCAAGCACATTCACATCATATTATTTTTCTCGCCTTTACCTCGCTTTCTCGTGGGCGAGAAAAGGAGTTTCCTCGCTTTCTCGTGGGCGAGAAGTCGAGAGTAGATATGGCCACAGCCGACTTCCATAGTTTACCTATGCTGCTCGGACATTAAAGGAATGCATGACATGTATGTAATTTTATAAGTGGATTTCATAGAAGGATAAATTAAAAAAATTATATAGATAATGTCATGTTTCGGAAATTGTTTTTGGTGAGAATCATTGCATCGTGAAATTTGAATGAATTAATCAATATTTTTCCATTACAGATTCGATTAAAAGAATGTTTATAGACCATACATCACAGGAAACACTACTTAGTACCGGTATATTTATCCTTTTGTCATATTAGCAGGTCCTATACAAGTAAAGCTGAGTCATCACTTTCCAGCGCTTTTCATTGATGTACATCGTGAGATCTATTTTATATACGTCAATGACAAAAAGGGTTGATCATCAACTGGAAATTTCCCATGAGCATCTGGAAGGTCCATCCTATTATTAATTTGACGACTTTCAAATTTCGTCATTATGTATTAAGAAAATATATTTTCAATAAGGTGACGTAAGGTCACTCAGTCCAGTGGATATTAGTCCTCCGACAGGTAGTCGGGCATAAGACAAATAATACAAACTAGTGGAGTCAGGTTCAACAAAAGAAATTCAATTAAAAATATTTTTTTTTACTAAATAAGTTATGAAGTGACCAAGAGTGGTTCTAAGAAATGTGTAATGTAATCCATTATCAGGGACCATTATAATTACGATAAGAGCCAATTATGTCTGACCTTATCTTTCTACATAAACAACGGTTCGATTGTCAACGGTAAGACGAGAATAATCTAATTGCTAAGAAACATGATGACAAATCGTCGCTTTCTTAAACACCACATACTTTTCGTACGTAGAAATAGAAGGCATGGGCGAACGAGCGTATTTTTTCGTTGGTGCACGTCGATCAAAATCGCCAACTAATTTTTCAAACAGCTTACCGTGAAAATTTTGCTATCTCTCTGCAACATATCACGGTAATGATTGGCAAACATTATTTACAAATTTCCACATGATCACGCGATTCAGGTAATTTAAATATGAAATGCTCGTCGTACATACATCGAGTATTAACTTTGAAATAATAGCTGAAACAAGGTTACTTGACACACAAACTTCATATTATGTCATGTAGGAAACTCCTTGATAAATACACTAAAATAACATAATCGTAAATAATGAGAAAGGTTATAATTATTAGGCTAATCGTAAATGATAAGAAAGGTTATAATTATTATTAACTGTGTTTTTTTTAATTTCTATAGGCAATTTTATCAGTTTTTTTAATCACTATTTAAAAATTTAAAAAAATATCTTCACTTATGACAGTCATACGAGTATCTTAGGTTTGACTATAGTAAGACAGCTATGATTTACATTTAATAATTACATGTTGTATGATAGTCATTAGAAAGTAATACAATTTGTCCTAAACTATATCTACAGGATACTTTCGAAAACCAGACCCCTGATCTCAGTTTGAAGAAATTATGAAATAAAATGATGATGAAATAAATATAAGATCTTAAAGAAGTGCTTATGAAATTTGTGAATTTTACTTAATATTTCCCTTAGCCTCGCCAAGACTTGATCGATTTTCGTCAAATTATTGTACGTATAATTTTTAAAGAAATTCCGAGGAGACTGTCGACAATTTTGTCGATAACTTTTTGTTTTGGAACTTCGAACAAAATTAAATGTTAACTTTAATCTATATTCGATTTCCATGGAAGATTTCAAAAAAGAAAATTCTCCGAAAATTAAAATTTAAAATTTATGCTATCAGTGTCCCCGATAGATACACCTACAAAATTTAGAAATCCTCTTTACAATCCCTTAAAACGGTTTATTTAGAAGTTGTTAAGTAGGCAGCTTTAACAAGTTTTGCACTGCGGCCTCATAAAGGCTTTATAGATGAAACCGTTAGAATTCGTTAGAATTCTCTACAATTAGGCCTATATTTTTCTTAATACACCAAAAAGCATAACGAACTTGAAAAGTTAACGTAAACCCTGTGGGTGTAAAATCCCGAATTCCCGAACTCTTCGAATTGGGTCAGAATAGGCATAAAAATGGAGACAAAAGTTTATATATTATAAATATTCTATAATCACAACAACTATGTTTCTTACATTTTAGTATTCTTACTCATACTAACAATCAATTGATATGATTTTATTATTAAATTAGAATAATTATTTATTTGTGGTCAGAGATAAAATAACGCAGCTTGTCGAATGCCCATGGATGTGAGAGCTATATTTCTTTATAATCCCCATCCAAAACACGACTTTAAAAACTTTGTAGCTTCCAGGCTATCAGTTTATGGTCATTTACTACACGATTTGGGCTAGGCAGTGAGATTTCCCTAATGTTCATGTCAATTGGCTTTGCTAAATACTAAGGAGAAAATTGTACACCCTATTCAGTCCTTGCGACCACATAGGGGTGTTAAATTGGAACAATCACGTTGATAAGTAAAAATTCTGTCAAATTATCTGTTCAAAAAAATAACTAACATTGTATGCAGGCTCTAAAATCCTTTCCCTTAATGAAGAGATTTCGCGTATAGTTACGGCTTGTCGCCCCCATTCCACATGGAATGTATAGATTTTTCTCTGTTCAATCTCATCAAGCCAATAAAATTAGATTTAGATATCGATGACACTGTTCAATGTTGATGGTGATTACTATTAATTCATCATAATCAACCAAGATAATCCGCCACTTTAGTTGCTTATTGTCTCTATATCATTGCTTATTGTCACCCTATTATTTACAGCCACTCCTAATCTTAATTAATTGTTGCTATTGTTATATTTTTTGTGTATATATATAACTTCTTGTACCATATTTCCTCACTTCACCTGAAGATGACAAGGTAGATTGTTGAAACGAAAAAAAAAAAAAAAAAGAAACGTAGTGTGTCATAAAACTAAGGAGTAGTATACCATGAAATTGTGTTCCGTTATCTGTACCCCTAAATGTAGCTAAAGGATTATTATTTCGTTAAATTAAGTTAAAGAAAAACTTTTCTCTTCTAGATTTCGGTGTATAGCTTTCTTAAATTTGGGAGAAAAAAATTTCAAGCCACGAAAAACCCACCAATTGATTCAATAATTAGTTAATTAGAAAAGAAAAAAATGATTCTTCTATCAATCAACATATTCTGTCATAATATCTATGCATGCATGTGGCAAAAAATCGTCGTTTACTTGAGATTAAATCTCAAGACTCTTCACCGAGTGGGTAGATGAGGCCAACGTTTAATGATACAAAAAAATTAAAAATATTAATTCATTGTTGATCCCTTATGCATCGGAAATATGAGCTCCTCCATTAATTCAGAATTAGCTAAATTAGAAGAGAATTACCAGCAGAATTCCAATGAGTGACCAATCAAAAAAGGTTAAAAAGACTTTTTTTTTGTTTATCCAGACTGTACATACATGGACATGCAATATAAGAAAATAATGATATGATAAAGAATACATGCTAATTCATTAGAAACACCAATTAATCAAATAGTTTACTTAATTTGACACTAAAAGATAAATTGCCAGGCAAGGTAATAGCTAAATTTGAAAACGTTTTCAAGAACAAGGGCAGTAACTCATACCAAATATTTTTCAATTCTTCTGATGATTACGAAGATTCATCAAAATCCGTCAAGAATTGTGCCTTCTAGAGTGTTTACGAGCTAATAATTGAACGCGTTTTCAAGAGCAAAGGCAATAATTTATACTTAATATTTTTGATTTTTCTGAATTTCGATATGGTTTATCCTTGGGTGATAATAAACACTCATGCTAAATTTCGTCAAAATCCGTCAAGAATTGTCCCTTCAACAGTGTTTACAAGCGAAAAATTGAACGCGTTTTCAAGAGCAAAGGCAATAATTTATACTTAATATTTTTGATTTTTCTGATTTTCAATATGGTTTATCCTTGGGTGATAATAAATACTCATGCTAAGTTTCGTCAAAATCCGTCAAGAATTGTCCCTTCAAGAGTGTTTACAAGCTAAAATTTGAACGCGATTTCAAGAACATTGTGCGATAACTTATACTAAATATTTTTCGATTCTTCTGATTTTCAATATGGTTCATCCTTGGGTGATAACAAACACTATTACAAAATTTTGTCAAAATCGGTCAAGAATTGTGTCTTGTAGAGTGTTTACGAGCAATTGTGGACGGACGGACGTGGGCGTATAAAAATAAGAAAACCCATATTTAAGGAGAGCCAATTTAAAATTTAACTTCCTGCTAATTTAAAAATAGATTGTTGAGACAATTCCGGATTTCTTGGGCCATATATTGAAATCCTCTCGACAGTCAATTATTATAAATCTTAAACTTGTTACAGTGAAAAGATCAACAAAAAATCCTCCTTGTAGTAGAAGTCATTAGAAAATTCGATTCACTTTGAAGAAATATAGATTACGGGTGTTTTATGAATTATATTCATAATCATGATGGTTTTAATGAAAGTCTTCATCTGTGCTTTGTTGGTGAACATGGTATACTCATTTACTTTAATTAAGAATATTGAACACATACTTGAACGCGAAAGAAGATCTGATGAATGTGCAGTACCTAATAATATAGATGAGTTATTTACTAATTTGAATTCTCATGTGAACCGTGTTGAGTTCCTCATTGCAGTAAATGCTACACATCAACCGAATGCACAGGGATTCATTCCACCTGCATTTGGAGATCAGACAGATACTGAATGTCCAAAGGAATATACCGGAAAAGATACCAGTAATAGTGAAATATGGCAAAGATCAACGTGTCCATGGTTCTACAGTGAAAGGAATTACGGAGCTGAGTATTACCCAAGTAAAGTTTTTAACGCTGCTTGTAAATGTGTTGATTGCTTGTATTCTAAGAATAATTTCGAGACTGGGTGTTCCAGAATCTACAAGAATATCAACATTTTAAAGAAAACAGGCTGTAGTAATGGCTTTTATACATACGAACAAAGATCTATAAGTGTAAGTGTTGGATGCACATGTGCTAAGTTACAAGCTAATATTGGATAAATTTATTCATATTAGATTGCTAACGTTACCAACAAGTTGTTTTAGTGTGTCTCATACACGGCACGATTTTAGTAGGTCTGTTTTAAGACCAAATTTATGTAATTATTTCATAATTAATGCATGCACATATTTATTAATTCATTGCATGATAATTTATTTTAATTTATCAATTAATTATATTATTTATTACTTCATCACAAAATGCTCATAATAACTTACGCTTTTTTTTTAAAAGTATTATTTTATATAATTTATTGCATTAAATATTTAAACTCTGTTCATTGTATATAAATTCATATTATTTATTATTATTTGATAGCATTCAATGCATTTATTTGTCTAATATTTATGAATGAATGATATTTATTGGTATGTTTGGTAGTATACAAGGTGAACAATCATTTTAGCTTAGGAAATGTGTGTTATGAATATTGTAAGAATTTTGTATAGCAAATTGAATCACGATGGATTATTCGGAATCTTATACGAATAAAATATACCTTCTACAAGGTGGAATGTATTTCTATGTTATCAACTATCGTAATTATAGATGAAATAATTGCTCAAAGATAATGTAGAATTTAGAAATCCTAATGAATTGTACTTATTTTACTATTGTTTAAACTGAATTAATGTGATTTATATAAATGAAATATATATATAATTGTAAAATGCTTTAACTGTTTGTTACTATACTGATCTCAATTGCAATTAATTTTAAAATAAAATATAGATTAATATACTTTCTTTTCTTTTTTCGGATCGATTTTATAATACACTGTAATCTTCACTGGAGGGGTGGAGGAGATGGTAACTATTTGTGATAAGCATCGAACAGGGATACGCAAGCTAACGCGGAAAATCGTGACTTCCATATTACAGTGGATAAGATACAAGATTCACCGTCTATGCTGGTCGAACATTAAAGGAATGCATGGCATGTATATACATTTCTTTTCATAGAAGGATAAATTTAAAAAAATTATATAGATAATGTCATGTTTCGGAAATTGTTTTTGGTGAGAATCATTGCATCGTGAAATTTGAATGAATTAATCAATATTTTTCTTCTTTACGAATTAGATTAAAGGAATGTTTATAGACCATACATCACAGGAAACACTACTTAGTAAAACTCAGTTTTCAATACTATTCATTGATGTACATCGTGAGATCTATTTCATATACGTCAATGACAGAGGCTTGATCATCAACTGGAAATTTCACATGGGCCTCTAGAAGGTCCATCCTGTTTTTAATTTAAGGATGACAAACGATAGCTTTCTTAAACATCACATTTATTTCTACAGGCAATTTTATCAGTTTTTTTAATCGTTATTTAAGAATTTTTCGAAAACCAGACCCCTGATTTCAGTTTGAAGAAATTATGAAATAAAATGATGATGAAATAAATATAAGATCTTAAAGCAGTGCTTGTGTCATATTGAATTTGTGAATTTTACTTAATATTTCCCTTAGCCTCGCCAAGACTTGACCGACTTACGTCAAATTATTGTGCGTCTTTAAAGAAATTCCGAGGAGACTGTGGAAAATTTTGTCGGTAAATTTTTGTTTTGGAACTTTGAACAAAATTAAATGTTTACTTTAATCTTTATTCGATTTCCATGGAAGATTTCAAAAAAAATTGTCCGAAAATTAAAATTTAAAATTAATGCTATCAGTGTCCCCGATAGATACACCTACAAAATTTACAAAACCTCTTTACAAGCCCTTAAAACGGTTTATTTAAAAGTTGCTAAAGGCAGCTTAAACAAGTTTTGGACTGGGGCCTTATAAAGGCTTCATAGATGAAACAGTTAGAATTCGTAGAAGACAAATTCTCTACAATTAGGCCTATATTTTTCTTATTCCACCAAAAAGCAAAACGAACTTGAAAAGTTAACGTAAACCCAGTGGGTGTAAAATTCTGAATTCCCAAACTCTCCGAATTGGGTCAGAATAGGCCCAAAGTCGAGACAAAAGTTGCGTCAAAGTGCGCCTTGATGATAATGAGAGGGTGACATACCACAAAGCCCTTACTGTTTTGTAAACAGGTAAACGAGAATAGTTAAAACTGAGGCTGAAACGTCTCAATGAAACTCATGTCTGGAAACCAGATATAAATATTGTTTTCGAATAAAATCGCAATAATCAAAACTCCAAATATTAGATGAAAACTGGTACAAACGTTTTAATAATTTCAGCAGGCCTTCAAATTAGCTTTAAATCTGGCTGGATGTTGGTGGGGATTACGACAGCGAAAGTATATACATAAAAAAACCATCCGATGATTAACCTTAGAGTTATCCCGATGAGGCATCTTGCCTCGAGGTACGTTCTCCCCCATGCTACCCTACTAATTAATATGTAGATGTAATTCATATCAGTTGATTGTCAAAATCTTAATGATTAAGCTAACTAAAAGTAATGTACACGAAAACAAAATTTACTTTAAAACTATTCATTCGTTGTCATTCCCAAATTTAGACACAGCCTTTGGCGGAATTTAAGTTTAGATTTTTAGAGAATTTCTCGGAGAGTTCGTAAGTGTTTGTCTATGACCCATTGGAAATACCAGGTTCTCTCCCAATTCAATCTATAGACTTTCCTTGTATACACAAAAAAAATAATAAATTTATAAATAGATGGATGCCTACTAATAGATGAATGACTACTAAGTTCATTTAAACTTAATCTTATTGTAGTGAAGGCTGCAGAATTTCGATCTTGTCATGGCATTATATTCAATAATCATGAAGGTTTTAATGAAAGTCCTAACCTTTGCTTTGTTGGTGAACATGGTATACTCATTTACTTTAATTAAGAATATGGAACACATACTTGAACGTGAAAGAAGATCTGATGAATGTGCAGTACCTAATAATATAGATGAGTTATTTACTAATTTGAATTCTCATGTGAGCCGTGTTGAGTTCCTCATTGCAGTAAACGCTACACATCAACCGAATGCACAGGGATTCATTCCACCTGCAGCTGGAGATCAGACAGATACTGAATGTCCAAATGAATATACCGGAAAAGATACCAGTAATAGTGGAATATGGCAAAGATCAACGTGTCCATTTTTCTACAGTGAAAGGAATTACGGAGCTGAGTATTACCCAAGTAAAGTTTATAACGCTGCTTGTAAATGTGTTGATTGCTTGTATTCTAAGAGTAATTCCGAGACTGGGTGTTCCAGAATCTACAGGAATATCAACATTTTAAAGAAAACAGGCTGTAGTAATGGCTTTTATACATACGAACAAAGATCTATAAGTGTAAGTGTTGGATGTACATGTGCTAAGTTGTTTGTTAATTTTGGATAAATAAGGTCTGATTTAAGACAAATTATTTTCCTTCATTATCAATATATGTTAAATAGTCATATTATCAATTTGTTCATTTATTGCAATATTTATCTATTGCATTAAATATTGAAACTCTATTCATTGTATATAAATTTATATTATTTATTTATTTATTTTCTAGCATTCAATGCACTATTTATCTCATGGTATTTATGAATGAACGTTATGCATTTGTTTAGATGTAGAAATTAAAAATATAAAAGAGAACCTGAAACTCAGAGTTTCACTTTGTGTGATCTTCACAAGTATACTAATTTTACAATGATTATAATATTTTTACAAATTCAGGACGTTGGCCAATTGGAATCATCTCCAAATTGTCTGAATTTGGTCAGAAAAAAACTTTAAAATCGGGACAAAAGTTGCTCCAAAGGCGGTCCACAAATTTGTGATTGATCACGAAAGAATATTTTGAAACCTATTTTATAATCATAACAACGATATGTCTTCCATTAATTTTAGTATTCTTACTCATACTAACAATCAATTGATATGATTTTATTATTAAATTAGAATAATTATTTATTTGTGGTCAGAGATAAAATAACGCAGATTATCCATGGATGTGAGAGCTATATTTCTTTATAATCCCCATCCAAAATACGGCTTTAAAAATTTGTAGCTTCCAGTCTGTCAGTTTATGATCATTTACTACACAATTTGGGTCAGGCCGTAAAGTTTCCCTAAGGTTCATGTCAGTCGGCGTTGCTTAATACTAAGGAGAAAATTGTACAGCCTATTCATTCCCTGCGATGGTGTGATGTTATGCCCATGTCTTTCTGTGTCATCAACTGACGTAATTATAGATTATTTAAACTGAGTTAATGTGGGTTTTATTTTTATCTAACTTGTATAATAATTGATCGTTGCTATAATTATCTCAATTTGAAGAAATTATAAAATGAAATTAATAATAATAAAATAAATATAAGATCTTAAACGAGTGATTGTGTCATATGAAATTTGTGAATTCTATTTAATATTTCCGGAGCTTAGCCTTCCGAAGAGACTGCTGTTCGAAATTCCAAATTTTCGAATTTGGGAAAGTGGCATTCGTGCTATGTAATAACCATTCAAAATTTCCGTCTTTGTAAATTCCTAACCATTTAGCGACCATCTTTGTTACATTGATGGGTTATAATTTAAAAGTGTTAAGAAACTTTGAGAGTAAAAAACCTATATGTTCAAGACAGATTTGATAATAAATTGGTAGACGAGTTCCACCAACCGTGGGTGGAGCCAAAATATTCTGTATGGTTAGTGGTATGTCGTTGGTTTCCAGGTACTCTGTCAGTGGCTTACGAGCCAAATTCATAGAGACAGGGGAGTGACTATTAGTTGTCTGCACAGATCATCAATGATATATTAGTCCCACCCTTAGCACATGCAACAACTACAAAATAAATTAACGATAACTGTAAATAAGTGTTGGGCATCACCGTTACTTTCGTCTCCTCCTAAAATAATTTAAGAATTAGACGACCGGAAACTCAATTTCATCAAATAAGAAACAAAAAATAAAGGAAATATGATGTTTTATTTAGAGGCATAATACATAAAAGTCATTAAATTGACTTACATTGACATTTCAAACGAAATACATTGTCAAAATTTGAGGTTATTATAATATAAAGATATCAAGATATGAAAAAAGTTGAAGTAAACATAAAAGCTATAAGTAAGAGTTTCATTCGAATATTGATTAAATTCTCTTAGTACGATATTTCGGATTGAGCTGCAGGTTGAGCCTAATTAAAAGATATAAATATACATGTTTAAATCTCAAAGACAAATATGAAACCGGAATTCTTGAAAAAAAATATCCAAAGTCTTAATTCTAGTCCGCATCAAATGAGAAAAGGAGCATTGAAAATGCAGAATATATTCTTCTTTAACAGAATCAAATGAGATTTTCGATTTTCGGTTCTATTTACATAATATACATTTATAGTCCGACATCTGCATGTAGATGTTGTAAAACTACAAAAACTTTTCTTTTTTTTTCGCTCGAATTGCAAAATGGAGCTCCATGTGCTCCGATTGAACAGTTAAATTCTGTTTACTTTAAGAAACAAAAGAAAACTTACAAGTAAACAATTTTCACGGATATAAAATTAAGAAACCTTATATACCATAATTATGAAAAATTTAATAATGATTTCATCATGCTAATTCTATAAATAAATAAATAAATAAATAAATACCACTTAAAATAATATAGGTCAGAGGTAATCGACAAATAAACTTCCGTATATAGCAGTACACAATACAATTGATGTGGTGTAAAAGATTTTATCATAACATCCTTGTTACAGCCGAAAATATGAGTATCCTTCCACAATGAAGTATATTTATATATAATATCGTTTCGGTATATTTCCTAAAAAAAACAGCTCTCAAAACACAATAAGATATATGGTATCTTGGTGGCATAATGAAACCCTATTATAAATAATAAATACTGATGCCAAAATATTCGATCAGGCATATGGATCTTACGAAGCTAGATTAAACACGATTTCTTCTCCTGGCTCTCATTGTCTTCCGACGGGCGCAGGTACATCCGACTGCTCTCTTCTTGTACTTCTTTTCATACGTGTAAAAGCCAGAAACGCAACCAGTTAGCTTCAATACTGGTATACGGTATACGATCGGCTGACAAGACGTTGTTGAATTAACCCCGGAACATCGTTCACATAGTCGACACCGAGCCACATTAATTACAGACGGAAAATAGCCGGGGAGATACTCTTGTACCATATCCCATGGACATACTGATCTCTGGTTGAGTTTTCCTCCTCGGCGTGATGTAACATTTTCAGGACAATTTGTCGGGGTTACAAAAGGTATTTCTGATTTTCTGCGATCACAAACCTCATAAATGGACTCCTGGACTGGTATCAGGAAAGATTTGTTTCTCTTGATTTCAGTTAACGATTCAATCAGTTCAGTAATATTATCTGGTATTTGACAATCATCAGCATTTCTAGACTTCTGGTTTAACAGAACCTTCTCCAGACTCTTTGAGTCAACTAATCCAAGTAAAACACACAGTATAACCAACATCGTCATTTTATACAAGTTCTTTCGGGCTTAATCAATATAGCTTTGAAAAATTATTCCACTGATGTGCTCTTATATAGATGGAAGGGAATGGGAAAGTTATTCTGAAAGTGTTTCATGTGATCTGGAAAATTTGGGAATATGGCAAATCATTAGTATAAATCATAATGTCCTTTTTCCTGCAAAACACTCCTACCGTTTCCTATTATGATGACTTGCGGAAGTAAATTCAATTGAGGGAAGTAAACTTGGTTGAATATATAATGTTTACACAATATGATATTATATCATATAAACTTCAAATAAAATTTGATATATTCATAAAGACATATATATTCTTTATCTGTCATGTCATACATTTCATAAAAATATGATGCACACTAACATTGTCAAACCTCTCTATTCTGCAGTGGCGATTCTATGGGAGGGTCATGGGGTATGCCACCGCTGTCAATTTTTTTTTTTCAATAGATATAGAGAAATAGTTGCCTTGTAACCTCATCTTAAGTCGTCGCGTCATCTACTTTGTAAGATGCAATCCAGAAACATGTTTTATGACAAGCTGACAATAGTTTTATTGCAAAATGACAAATTGTTTAAGAAACGCAAATATAAATCATTTTTAAAATATGTTTCTGTGTTATACTTCATTATATTTTGTGGTTCACTGATAATGCCTTTATTGCGTGTTTGTTAGAAAAAATCGACACTAAAAACAATCAGAGCACTTCGATTAGTGAATGTTCGATACTAAATTGAGCTTCTGAAAAAACCTCAACTTGTGAATGCTGAAATCATCAAGTCGGGTATGCGAAATCATTACATCGCATACGTGAAATCATTAGATTTATTCCCGTATCGCCCCTTCTCATTCAGCCACTTCCCATTATATCCCCGCCCGATTTGCGAAAAGGGAATAGTTTAGGGGCGATTTGAGAAGGGCGAAATGGGAAGGGGCGATGTAGAAAGACACCCATTTGGGTGTCTGAAAACTTTACATCGGGTGTCTGAAATCATTATGTCGGATGTCTGAAAACATTACATCGGGCATCTGAATCATTACGTCGGGTGTCTAAATCATTACGTCGGGCGTCGGAATCATTACGTCAGGTGTCTAAAAAACATTACGTCGGGTGTCTAAAAAATATTACGTCGGGGATATTAATTCAGTACGTCGAGTGTCTGAAATCATTACATCGAGCATCTGAAAACATTACGTCGGGGATATTAATTCAGTAGGTCGAGTTTCTGAAATTGCAAGACTAATATACCGAAATTAAAATAGCGTTGAGAGTCTGAAATGATTTAGACCCATTTGGGCTAATTCTCGTTTTGGTTAATTCCCATTTGAGCTACTTTATTTTCCCATTAGGGCTACTATGATATTGAAACAGATAAACTATTCCCGCTAGGGCTAATTAAGGGTACTAAGTTGAAAAAAAATCAAACTTCGTTTACTAAACAAATCTTTATTAATAGTAAAATCAAAACATTTAAAAAAATTTTCAAGACCACGATCCGACAAATGGGAGATATAATTTTTTTTTTCACTAAGTAGCCCTAACGGGAATAGTTAGTCTCTTTAAATATCACAGTAGGCCTAACCGGAAAAATAAGTAGCTCAAATGAGAATTAGCTCTAAGGGGAATTAGCCCAAATGGGAAGACACCTATGAAATTACTACACAGTTTGATCAACACGCCGGGCGACTAAAGACAGCTAATAATTAGGGCAACTTAGAGTTAATGAAATCCCAAAAGGAGTATTATTGGTAACGGGCACACTTGTCACAAGGTAAATTGGTTCAAGCCAATTGATTCAAAGATTACCGTCAAATTTTTTATAGGGTCGATCCGTAATGCTAACTATCATGAATAAATTACTGTGACCAAAATACTGTGACCAAAAAACATAATATAATAACAAGTTAAAAGGATAGGGTTTTGGGAACGTACTGGTACAGAATTAACAATCTAAAGAAGCTTTTTATCCGGGTATATATGTATGAATGGTCGGTCATATTACTGACAAGTTGTTATTAACATCAGAAATAGTACATGAAGTGATCGATTCCGTTTAAAACAATGTAATATGCACAAGACAAGTTGGCTCAACCTACACATTTTATAATCTCTTACGCCACCATTCAGTCTTTAAAAAAATTAGATCAAACTTTCGTTCCGTTTTTTATTAGGTTATATTTTTAATTTAACCATTTCAGCAAGGGTTTGAAGACGACCCTCTTGAATATTCATCCGTTTGATGACACCGCGAACGAATCCAATTTCTTCCCCCTCTTATCTATCGGTGGGATCTTGTGACGCAAACAAAAGGTGCATCCCGAGAAGCATTAGACACTGAATGCACCTTTTGTTTGCGTCACGAAGTCCCAGAGTTTTGTATGTGCATATTTATGCATCATATCATTTCATTTATTAGCAATTGTATTGACATCTACTATATCATGTGGTAGATAGACATCTAGAGACAGAATGATATCTGGAGACGGAATGCCATCTGCATATATCTATATAAGAGGCAGAATGATATTTAGAGACAAAATGTCATTAAGAGACATAATGACTTCTAGAAACAGAATGACATCAAGGGACAAGAAAGACATCTAGAGATAGACAGATATCTAAAGACAGAATGATATCAAGAAACAGAGTGCCATCTGGAAATAAAGTCGACATCTAGAGACAGAATGATTTTTAGAGACAGAGTAGCATTGACATTTAGAGACATTAGTTCACTAAGAAACATCTGGAGACAAGGTGGTATCGATATCTAAAGGCAACTATAGGCATAATGACATTCAGAGACATCTAGATACAGAATGTCAATTAGGAGATAGAATGACATCCAGAGACAGAATGACATCTTTCGGGGATCGTATGACATCTTATCGGGACAGAATGACATCTTTTAGAATGATATCAAGAGACAGAATGACACCTTGAGACATCTAGAGATAAAATGTCAACCAAAATAATAATGACATCGAAAGACCGATAAGCATCTAAAGAGACGCCTTGAGACAGAATCGCACAGACATGGAAATAAAATATGTTTGTACTATACTTTTAAAGGGACAGGTTTGCCATCCGTTAACGGTTTGACCAATAGTACATCATAGTCTCAGAAATAGGTAGTTTTTTTTTGCTGAGCTAATCAGTTATAATGTTCACAGCTCTCCTTCGAAATTTGAGCCTTGAAATACATGTGTGTCCAGAATTATAAAGAAAAGACATATATATAAAAAAGAAAGTGAAAGTCCTCGTTTGAAAGTATATTTGAAAGAATTACATTTCTAGTACTTCTGAAGACTCTACCTATCAACCCTCGAAAATGGCGAATCTGTCCTTTGAATTAACTTTGAGATTTGACACTGCGATGATGTAAAAATATCCAAACCACAGTTGGCTTATTTTAAAAACATACAAATAATAAATTTCCAGGCTTGATGCCAACTCTCTAATTAAGTATAACCTTGTCTTTTGTAAAGGTTGATCTCGACTTCATTCATTTTTATTGATATAACATGTTATTTTTGTAATGTGTATTGAAGGGTACGTACAATAGGGACCTTCCTCAATTCGCCTATTGGTCACATGGGGTGGGATTCCCTGCATGGATTTGCTTGTTCCGCGCGATCAAGTCAGGTGATCACGTGTCTAAATATAAGTGAAAAATGACAATTAATTAGGAAATGTATGTATAAAAAGGAAGTACTCGATACTCTATTATCAACCGTTTGCTAGAGATCTACACATTGTAGTCACATGATTGACTTCATGTCCTATTTTGCTCACTTATGTCAATAAAATAAGGCATCTATGGTCCACCAATACTTTGTCTTTGTTTGTAAATCGTAATCAGATGTACCAAGGCGGAGTGTCAGTCTCTATATCCTTTTAAATATAATTAAAGGGCTTAATTTTATATGTGTATCGTGGACGTATCCGATACACGTAAATATTTTTTAGAAAACATCTAGAATGACATCTACATACATAATAAAATCTACAGACAGAATGTCATCCCAGAGATTGAGAGAGAGAGAGAGAGAGAGATTAGAGAGCGTGAGAGAGAGAGAGAGAGAGAGAGAGAGAGAGAGCCCTTCTTGATAGGGCATATCGGAGCTTGGGGAACTCATAATATGTATTTCATACAACTGATTTTCAAATGTTTGTCGAATTGAAGAGCCTTTTCGTTAAAAAGAAAGAAAAAAGAAACATTTTATCTATACCAGATCGCAGGTCATAAGTAAATAATAATTATGATGTCATCCGAATTCCCCGTTGAATTACATTAAACATTTAACACAATGTAATAATAACGCAATAATTTCATTTTATTCAATCGATACTATGCATTTCCACTTTTTTGTTTTTACCAAATTTATTCTATTAAAGGGATTGTAAGGAGGTTTTCTAAAATTTTTTATGTGAATCGGAAACACTGATATATTATATCACCAATTTACATCATTCCAATTTTCAATCAGACGTCTGTGGTTCCTGCAATTCAACTAAAAATAAGTGTTTTGATTTGAAAGGTGCAAATTGGTGTCCCTGATACACATAATTCTTTTTCAGAAAACCTCTTTACCATCCGTTTAAGATAAATCCGAGTCTTAGAAGTTTTCTAAATTTTGTATGTGAATCGAGGACACTGATATCATTTATTTGCATCATTCTAATTTTCAATCAGACGTCTGTGGTTCCTACAATTCAACTAAAACTACGTGTTTTGATTGGAAAGTTGCAAATTGGTGTCCCCGATACACATAATATTTTAGAAAACCTCTTTACAATCCATTTAAGATAAATCCGAGTCGTTGCAAAGAAAAAAAAATATACAAATACGATCTCGTTGTGACAAGTAGACCGCTAACAGTTGTCCATAGATATATAAATGGAATTTATATAATGGAAATGGAATAAGGTTAACACACTTCCTTCCACGAAAATTCCCTCTAAAGTATATAGTAACCAGTAGGCTAA